TACAGCTAAACGAGTTTATAATATGGATATCAGGTGTAAGTTTTTTTACGAGTGCGGATACATTTTGAGACCAATAAACAATAAATTATTATTGAATTTCTCTGCCGTTGTAATGAACCTGAGACCAAAGATCATACTACACTAGATAGACAGCGCTGTATAAATTTTAGACTCTCATAATTCGTCCCGCCAAATAAGTCGACTGCGTCCTCCAGCGGCAATGTTTTTATGAGAATAGTACAAACTACCTGGCGGGGTAAGAAGACGCGCGAAATGGCAAAGCACAGTTATTTTTAGAATAAAGGGCTATTGTATGGGATATCGGTGTCATTCTTAAGCGCAACCTTGTGTGGGTGTTATAGATGTTTTTATCTGGTTACCTTACTGTAAATTAAAATACCGAATACTCACATCTTGTTTTAAATTAAATTTTTTATCGTAACACAACGAAGTGAGGTAAAGCTTATGTGCTCGTGTTTCCATCTGTCCGTCCGTCCGTCCATCCGTTCCATCGAGATCTCGGCCCCTGGGCCACCTAGAGACTTCGGGTTTACGCTAATTGATAGCCGTTATGGTCTATATTTGTCCATTTCGATCAGTTTCGTATTTTCCATATTTTGCGCAGGCTGCGCAATGCCAACTTTCATATTTATGGAGATATTTCTTTGAAATTTTAACTACAGACGCTTCTAGTTTCGACTCACTTTAGCTGGACACAATTTTATTATGTAGGAGGCTAAGCGGGATATCTCGTTTATCCCAATCATAAAATGCTTAATTACAACAAATCTAAATTAGATAAATGAGTGGTTACAATGTAAATATGCCTGGATAAGTAGGTGCATATTATCACAGATTTATAGTATACATATTTAAATATGTGATATTATATTTGAAGATTTGCTAAAGTATCGTAGATACGTGAAACCAAAAGTTTTCAGAAATTATGCTCAGAAAAAAGACGCTTTTGCAATTATTAATTTAATCCGAAAATCTGGAAAATGTATTGGTTAGCGCTGGTTAAATAATAATAATAATAATAATATGATTTATTGCCCAACAGAATCAAATTCCAATTATAGGACAATTACTAATCTAAGAAAGCACAATAACTAAATATACTAATATAACCGCTAACCTAATAAAAACCAAATTAAATGGTATTAAACTTAAACAAGATTAAAAATAAGATTAAAAGTAAGATTAAAAATATTCCAGATCAGATACTGAGCAAGTGTTAATGTCTCACATATTAGCAATTTTGTTAAAGTTGCTTACCATAACAAATATTGGTGATTTACAAAGTAAGTTTGTATTGGCCTTAGCACAATTGAAAGTATATACATTACGAGCCGAAGAACGTAAAAAAAAGCAAAGGGAATATTGTGTACAACTTTCAAATTATTTCTTTCATTGTAACGTCCTGACTGTAATAGAATCTACCTCGTCTTGAATGACGCCCACTTACAAATGTAATTTTATCCCAATGATAGTGAGAAGTGTTCAGTAGGTCATGTTTATGTGTCTTGTGTTTAGACAATAATCACTCTTTGTATTTATGATATGATTCGAACTCGTACGAAGACGGCTTCGGATGAATCAGTTACGTTCTTAATTTTGAAAGCCCCCTATAAATATTTTTATGGAACTACTTAAACGCGAAACAACTCTTGCATATACGCTGGCTATCTAGTGTAGTATGATCTTTGCTGAGACCAACCAGTCAATTGTAGCTATTGATCAACACAGTGAATTTAATGGGAGTTGTCAAGTTGTAGTGGCTATAGTAAACTGGCCTTAATTATACTACTGGAACATATCGATGTATATTTAGATTTGTAATCAATGATTATATTAAATCTGCATACTTTCCCATCCTTGTCTATTTTGTTTACTTTACCACGAGCATGTATTTTACTCCTTCTATACGTTTTTTTTTTGTTATTATTCCTATTAGTGGAAAGAAAATTATATCTCTACGCCACTGAAGTGAGACGCTAATGATAACGGAAGTGGTGTGGTACTTTAATCACAGCTAGAGGCCACTTTTGGTTCCCGTGGTCTACGTCTGGCCAAGTATTTGATTCCCTCCAAGTTTTCTAACTCAATGGTCTGTTCACACGCGTATTAGCGCAACGAGTTGAAGAAAAACGTAGTGAGGGGAACTTGCCTCCACCGTAAAATAGAATAGGATTCTATTTTACATTACTATAAGGGCCGGTATTTCCATCTTCGGATAAAGTACTAGATTCGTACCTGCCAAATAACTGATACCGCCCGTTATCTTCCGTTTATCTATCTGCGAGTATTTCCATCAGCGTGCGGTATAAATATATCCCGTAGATAGCTACCTAACCATAGCCAATGTTGCCGATTTTAGAAGTCTGTAATAGAAAAAGATAGCGAACGGCAGGGCCATATATTAGAGCAAGATAGCTTACTACCTGACAATTTGAACGAATGCTTTTGTTTTGGAAGGAAATTCAGTGACTTGTAATATAGGTACTTGTCAAACGTAAATTACAGAATAAGCTTTACTTATGAGTACTCTGAACATGAACCAAAATCGTGATGTAAATGCACCGCGTAGAAAGAAAAGGCTAATTTCAGCACATCTGAAAATCGTGTGCTTGTGTCAAGAAAATCTTGATCCATTTGGAATCTAAAATAGGTTACCTATATCCTTCAAGAAAACATAGTATGTATTTGCGTACTTCCAGTGGCGTAACTACAATGTCTCAAAGGTACGCAATGAGGACGGGCCCCGACTTAAAAGGGGCCCCGGCAAAAATGTACAAAAAATGTAATTTTTATATAAAAATACTGAAAAAAATTGAAAATTTCCCGAACTCCTTCAATGTTACGTTTGTGTTAATTATTTACATAGTTTGCGTTACTAAAGGAACAGATAACATTGTTCACAGGCGGTAAATAGGTACCTATAGGTGAAAAATCCGGACCAATATCTACAACATACAAAATTAACAATCCGAGGAAGTAACTATTGAATTTAAATCATCATATCATATCATTTAAACCTGACCTTACTTTAATACGAAATTTGATATGCTCAAAAGTAGCCAGCTCAAAGAGATTTAAGAGCAACTCCACCCGTTTCCCATTTGTGAAACATAAAATTCCGAAGTCTCTTACATAAAGTACCTTCATGAAACACTTTGTTAATTAGCGGGACCTTCTGCAGTCCAGAAGATATCTGAAGGTCCTGAATACGGTAACCTTAAACTGAATTTGTATTTCGAGATGAATGCGACTAAGTACTTTTAACACTCTAGCATTTACCTCTGCATGGAGGAAACAGTTACCGTCATTCAAAAAAGGCGGATTCATACACAAAGAATAGAAATCGCTAATCAAACTTAATAACTAAATGAGTTTAAATGTATCTCCAGCGGTGTCTGTAGATACGCCACCTGTACTTGTCGTTTGAAATTTTGAAAGCAGACATCTCAGAATGGACGAAAATACCATAGTGGAACCTCCAAGAGAAAAGCAAAAAACGAACGTTGAACAGCGAATAAATAAGTTCAGAGTTAAGCAACGTCGGAAGATCGATATGAGGGTGATATCTTTATTAAAGAATCAGAATCTTCTGGAGTGTATTTCTAGTGAACTTTCATTTATATATTTTTAAGATGGTTGTCATTAGAAATCCAAGCGGTTATATTAAGCGTAAGGGAAAGGGCCCCCAAATATTTTTGAGGACGGGCCTTTAAAATGAAGTTACGCCACTGCGTACTTCTACAGGGTTCGGCAATGAAACGGGAAGATTTCGTAAATAATTTTATTATCGAAAAAATATTTTTTTTTTGTAATTAGTAATACCATACTGGGAAATAAAAGAGTAGCCATTTGATATACAATGTTAAAAAACATTATTTTTTGAAAATTACATCTGTCAAATGGCCTCCGTTGACACGTATGCATTCATGGAGTCGAGCCTGGAAGTTCTCGACGCGTTTGCACTAAACTCTCGCCATTTTGGTAATAAGCCTTAATTGCGTAACCGCGATGCTCACCCGTCCAACGCTCCATTGTAGACTAAAGGGCAAGCCACTCGGGTCCCGACAGGTCTGTGACTGTCCTCCCTACCACTTCACCGCCCGCTGCAAGCCCCACCCCAAATCTTCCCGTTTCATTGCCGGACCCTGTACTTCCATACTTCAATTTCTTTCTTCGTCACCAGTTTACTGGAAATTTGACGCAATATCCTGGGGTTATGTTGATAACTGCAGAAAATCTACCCAATAACTTTATCTAGAACTTATCCAGCCGATAATATTTAAACGAGGTTCGAAATACCCGAAGTGACGCTAACTGTCGGTTTACCTGGAAGATATCTTATACTTGACTTTATCCCGAGATGGAAATACCGGCCCTAAAGTGCTTAGTCAAGTCGAGTAACTTATGTTTGTTCACATGCGTCCACTTGAATAAATTACTTAAACTACTAAGGGCCGGTTGGCGGTTGCACAAAGACAGTTTAAACCTAGCTTGAAATTAACCAGTGGATTACGGTCTAGGATTGGTTGAAATTTGACGTTTTGTCAAATTTCCACTAATTATATGTCAATCCATTGCGTTAATTTCAAGATATATAATATTAAAGATGGTAGGATGACTCGCCGCCATTATGTAAGACAGAATGCGGCGCCAGTTAAAATCGCTCCCTAGATGTCGCCACCCATCCCAGTGTACTTCACAAAACTGTCAATTTATTCTAACACGTCATTTAAATTTGAATTAAACCATCAAATATGAGAAAGTGTTTGATTTGAGACCACAATACGCCCTTAACTTGTGATACATCTTTACTTCGAGTTCCTTCAGTATGTAATTGAAGCATTTCGACTTTTTTTTTAGTCAAAATACCTACTTAGTGTAAATGCAATAATTACAATTCTTGTTTTGTAGATTGTCATAACGCGCAGCTTCTTAAAAATATGCGTAACTAGCAAAATTGGTCTCATTAAATTGTTGACGTTGTTTATAGAAAATTTATTTGTAAATATTTGTAAAAAATGTAACAGGCAGTTTCCCTGATAATAATATGGAAAAAGGGTCTATGTTTTAACGCATCTGTATTTTAAATTTCCATGGAAAGTAGGAGAGCGACCACTAAGTAATTGTACTCGGCATGAGACCCAAGGCAAGGAAGCTGTGCAGAAGTGTAGTGTAGTTGTGTTTCCCCACACATCGTTAGCATCGACACCTAATACAATTCCACGTCGTTGCCTACGCAGTGATCTGTCATTCTTCTGAAGTCCGAAGTTGGTCGTTTTGCAGAGGCGTTAAATGGGAAGATGACTAAGGTTAGGATAAGCCACAGTTTCCTACTCCCGTTTTGTAGTTCAGCCTCCAGCACTGCCACACTCCTGGAACAGAAGTTGGTTAAAATTATTGCACTAGTCCCCTTCTAACCAGCATTTAGATCCTGGGAGCTTCCGAGATTAAGTTATAAAATAAAAAGGTAGGTTGAACAAGTCGGGTCCCCTACCTTCCATCTTAACAGTAATAATGTAGACTTTTGCCAGTTCCTTCAATCCCCATCTCAGCACCCGAGAATCTCGCTAATCAAACGGGCAATAATGATTTTGTGTCAGAGGTTCTTACAGCTCTCGGCATGATTGCTTACACCGTAGATTGTGTAGGTGAGGGTCATTTGATGCTTATCTTAATAGGTATAAGAAGGGCGGCTCCTGGTTTGTTCACATATGGTTTACATTGATCAATGACTTGTTGACTTCGCTTGATCCAGTACAAGCTCCGACAGCTAGACGGGGTGAGAAGTCTGTAATGCAGGTATTGCGCTACTATTTACTGTGATAACGAGCATCCTTTTTAGTGGAACCCCTCAATGCTCTGTAACTTTGAACTTTAGCAAAGTGAACAGTGCGATGTGCAAGTTTGCTTGCTTATACATCCGATTAGTACCTACTTGTCTATTTTATTTACCGAAATTGTTTGCAACAATAACTAGGTATAACACACTGTAGATGCCAAACCACACCAAGTCGCTAAGTAAAAAATTTTTGTACATAACATCATAACCTAAAACAATTTAAATGACATTAAGTTGAAGTCATATATATTAATATATGGGTTGAAGTATATATATGGTTGAAGTACACTGATCACCCTGGCGCCATCTATGGATTGAGTTTACCTAGCGCCGGATTTGGCGTCAAATTTTACAGGTATAAGCGCACCTACCAGTCTCTTTAAACTGCGTTTGTGCAACCGGCACTCTACTAAATTACTGATTGCGTCTAAACCAGGCTTTAAAGCAAATTCAAATTCTCGTGCGGTTGCGCAGTTCTGAGGGAGTCACGGTGCAACACTCAGAGCAAGTGCTACGCTTTATTTTATTTCCATATACAGTGAGTTTTTTTTTAAATGCGATCATAGGAGTTTGCATACAATGTAATTTCCCTATGTTCGATTAAAAAAAAAACACATCAATCTATGAGGTGTGCGCGGTTCACATTCCCAAATCGGGCAACTGGTGTGACTATGAACAACAACTCTATAGTTTTTATGATGAAGAGCACTCGGTAAGATTTTTTTAAAGAAGCCATGTGAGGCCATAGCAACTTTAGGATACATTTTTCTTAAACTTACGATAACTTGACCTCACAGGCCACGCACTGACACCACAACTCATTGTGTACCAACCTTCAATTATTTGTAGGTCATGTGCACCTGGTATTCTACTAATTTGATCTATTCAATACATAAATGAAGAAAATAAGAAAATAAATACCGAAAACAATTAAAATAAATGTTCGAAGTGTCCTCCTTGACATTCTAAGCAATAACTTAACCGATTTCGTAATTAAATTGGACGGCGGTATTTTTAAAAATGTGACAGCTGTCAATTGTATCTACTACTCATTTGAACTACTCAATAGAGTGATGTGTTTTTTTTTTAAATCGAACAGGGAAATTACATTGCATGCAAACTCCTATGTTCGCATTTAAAAAAAATTCACTGTATATGTTTATTTCTTGATGAGGTGCAACCAGAGACATGGACTACCACTCCATGTCTCTGGGTGCAACATCGAAGGGTCCAAGTGTTGGGTTATGTGTATTGTAATAACCTTCACTGATTACGTATTTACCTAAGTGTCCTAGTTATTCATAATTCGCCTTTGTGGGATGAAATAACCTAAGACCTTTGTTTATATAAAAAATGCTAAGACGCTATGGGAGTCGGGAATGTTTTCCACCGAATATCTATTTTGAACATAGCCTAGTGACATTCCAAGGTGACCGATGTATTAACAAGTTATTTAATTTTTGATTTGTACTGCCATATTGGCTGTGCCACTTTTTCGTTTCTTCAAGAAGTACCTGTTCATGTTTATATTGTAACCATTTCTTGTGTGATAATGTCTGCGATTGTAAAAGTTGAAATCAAACAAGAAGAAGAAATAATTGCTTCTCTGGATGACAAAGTTTTACTTGGCAATGATGGCTCTGTTCCAATCAAGTGTGAAGTCAATGAATGTTCGATTAATGTGGGTTATTCAAACGTTGGTGAAAATAAAATCCAGCAGAAAAATGAACTACTGATTGAACATTCCAAAAATTTATCGTATGGCCAACCACAAATTAAAGACTTTTGTTGCGCTCAGTGTGATTTTGCAAGTAATTATAAATCCAATTTGAGAATTCATTTACAAACGCACAAGGTTACCAAAGATTTCGAATGTGCACAGTGTAATTATGCAACTCATAACAAATTCCTTTTAAAAAATCATCAGTTAAAACACAAGAGTACCAAGGATTTCCAATGTGAACAGTGTGATTATGCAACCCATACCAAATTCAGTTTTAATAATCATCTATTAAGACACAAAACTGTAAAGGATTTCAAATGTGCTCAGTGTGGTTACGCAACCAATTATAAATCACACTTTAGAAGACATACATCAACACATAAAACTATCAAGGATATCAAATGCGCACAGTGTGATTATGCAACCCATGACAAATCCAACCTTAAAAAACATCTGTTAGCACACAGCACTGCGAAGAAAATCAAATGTGTAGAGTGTGATTTTGCCACAAACTTCAAACACACTTTTAAAATGCATCTGTTGACACACAAAAGTGTCAAAGATTTAAAATGTGCACAGTGTAATTATGCAACTCATAACAAATTCTATTTTAAAAATCATCTATTAATACACAAAATTACCAAGGATTTAAAATGTTCACAATGTGATTATTCAACCCATAGCAAATTCTATTTTAAAAATCATCTATTAAGCCACAAGATTACCAAAGATTTAAAATGTACACAGTGTGATTATGCAACCCATAATAAATTCAGTTTTAAAAATCATCTATTAAGACACAAGACTGCTAAGGATTTCGAATGTGCTCAGTGTGATTATGCAACCCATATCAAAGTCAGTTTTAAAAATCATCTGTTAAGACACAAAACTGTCAAAGATTTAAAATGTGCACAATGTGATTATGCAACCAATAATAAATCGCACTTTAAAAGACATATGTTAATACATAAGACTGTCAAGGATATCAAATGTGCACAGTGTGATTATGCAACCCATGACAAATCCAATCTTAAAAAGCATCTGTTAACACACAGCACTGCGAAGAAAATCAAATGTGTACAATGTGATTTTGCCACAAACTTCAAAGACACTTTTAAAACGCATCTGTTGACACACAAAACTGTCAAAGACATAAAATGTGCACAGTGTAATTATGCAACTAATAATAAATCACTCTTTAATAGACATTTCCTCAGACACACGACTGCCAAGGATTGGCAATGTGCACAGTGTGATTATGCAACCCATGACAAATTCATTTTTAAAAAACATCTATTAATACACAAGACTGTCAAGGATTTCAAATGTGAACAGTGTGATTATGCAACCAATTATAAATCTAATCTTAAAACACATCTATTAAGACACAACACTATCAAGGATTTTAACATAAGATAATTAACTGCCTAAATATGCATAAGAAAACCATAAGAAAACCATGGCTTTCCTTGTGTTATTTCATTAAAGTAAATACGCTACATTACATTCGTCATTCTTATTGTTGTTTAATATTGCAATGTTGTAGGTCGATTTCCCAATGATTATGCAGGTACATAATGAGGATAATATATTATTCACCAATTTTTTCCGCTGTTTCATATTTCAACTGCAACCAGCTAAGTATTCGATGAAGTCATCATCTATTTAGGTATTGATTTTTTCATCAACATTGACATTATCGCTAGAGCAGATTTTACTTTTCATTCTCCTGTCTCCGGAGAGAAAAATATGAAAACACAATTTCAGTTTTCACTGAAAAAGGTTATCTACTGCGTTACCACAGAAACAGCACCTAACTATTCATAAAAAGGAAAACAAACTTGCCTACTTGACGCTAATAAATCCCTTAAAAAACTATCATGTAGGTAGGCCATGGATGATAAGTAATAATACTTCTCCACATAAAATAGTCTAAGTACTATAGGTATTATTTAATTCATTTTGTTTGCTAATATTTAACGGTCTTGAATTGTAAAATTTGTTATGCGAGGTATTTTTCAGGGTAATATTGAGATGCCCCAACCTTGGCAACGTCCTGTGAATATGATTGTCGATACGACGCACCCTATACATCATATTAGTTACACATGCTGCCAACCGAAACCTGGTGGGATTACCGAAAAGGGAAAGAGAGCGAAGATGAGACGGATGGAATTTCTCGGAAGATCACATGTGTTTACCATTTCAGACACCTGCCGTCCAGTTTTTTCCTAGAAATGCAGGGAATGGGCGATTTTCGGGTGGTTTTTAGGGGTGTTAGAAGATCAAGTTACCGCGTCGCTTGGGGTAGTCAATAAATACGATTTAACATGTGTACAGAGTCTTTTTCTTGTAACCGGTTTCAGTGTAAAGTATGGCTTATCTTGAAATAAGTATTTTGTTATACCTTAATCATTACTGCGTGCTTTTGTTTTTTTATATCAGGTGAGGTATTTGCTTTATTCAATTAATCCATAAATGTGTTTAACTTGAATGCAGATTGTAACCCTTTACTTATGTACTTACTTACTGAATTCAATCACTTGTACCTCTAATCATTGACTCTAATGTGTAACCTTTGTTGGTTTTGGCAATCATGTTTCATTGTCGTTAGGGCTGCATCTGTATTGTACGTATTTGCATGTGTCCCACTATTTGCGTACCGTGCTTTTTAGTCGCTCTCGATTATTGCATTGCATTTTATTATAATTGTTTATTTGGGCTGTGAGTAATCAAGAGGAAAGTTTATACGGGCCTTGGTGAACCTAACACTAACATTTTCACTCGTTCCGAACCCAACAACTTTGGTCCAGGATTACAGGGTCTCCACTGGTCCTGGGTAATCCTCCCGCCCAGCGAGGTATATTTGACATCTCTTGGTTTTGTCCGATGTATGTGTTGTAATACCTGGGGAATGGCTCGATCCCATTTTGGTTACTCATAGCGTGTTTGTAGTAGTTACCCCGGTTTCGAGAGGACTCAAAAGTGCTGTACATTAGATGTTGTTCATTATAGGGCTACTCCGAATTAGGTTTTCCTGCAGTTTTCCTAATTCGTAAGGAAAATGCCGGAGTAGTATAGAGCCACTTAAGACGCTCTGCAGGGGCACCGTTTTGGTATTAGCTTCAATATAAACGTAATCAGCTATTGTTTTTGGTATTCCTTACCCATAAAACGCCCTCAGTGCCTGCTGAGAACCCAGTTATTACACAACGTAGGTGTCCTACATGACGATCACGATCTTAGTGCACTCGGAGTGGCCCCAGAGTGACAGATTCTCGCGGGAAATGTAAGCGAGAATATTCAAATAGGCAGCCATGTTAATTTGGCATTCCCGCTACTACAGAATATGGTCCAATATTCCAGTGTGACTTGAAGTTGGCGTTAGCCACCATAGTAGGAGGCTAATGGCCGTTTCCACCGACAAATTTAAGCAGAGCTTAGCTTAAGCGTAGCTTAAAATCCATGGCAACGATTATTGAGACAATGGTTGCCATGGATTGTAAGCTA